AGAGAACCAATCACCACTACAGTCACATGACAATGCTATCTAGGTTATAATTTATTAAAGTTTGACGAATTTCAATGCATACACACATGTTTGTTGTTGATTGATGTACGGTATGCGGTTTTCCCCATCGAAATACAAAATGTTGCTTCAAGATTGGGTTTCATCGGCACCTGAACTAGTGATAGGGTATGAAGTAGTCGAACATGTAGACTGCTTCACTTATCGAGGGACTCTCATCAGTGCTGATGGCCTGGTGACTGACGAAATCTCAGCTCGGATACGGAAGGCTCGATTGGCTTTTGCCAACCTGCATCACTTATGGCGTAGGCGAGATATCCGTTTGTTGACTAAATGACGAGTGTACTGTTCAGTGGTTCGCTCCGTCTTACTTTATGTCTGTGAAACATGGCCAGTGAGAGTAGAAGATATTCGTAGGTTACTGGTTTTCGATCATAGGTGTCTTCGAAGCATTGCTCGTATATCGTGGGACACCCGAATGAGCAACGCTGTTATTAGGAAACGGGTGCTAGGTAGGAATGGCAGATCAATAGAAATGAAACTTGATCAGTTGAGGTGGTTGGGACACGTGTTGCGTATGCCTTACCACCGACTGCCTCGTCGAGCTTTGTTTTGTAGTGTAGGAATAGGTTGGAAGAAATCTAGGGGTGGCCAAACCAAAACACGGCGAAAATCCATGAAGTCATCGACGAGTGGACTTAGCCATGTCGGTAATTGTTGACTACGTGGTTGGGGTCTGCGAGATGATAATAATCGATGGTTAGAGACCTTGAATGACATGGCTTAAAATCGTTCGCAATGGTGCGGGTGCATTTATTCTTTGTGTTCTCTCAAATCCTAATCTTCTACATTCTTCAGCCTTCCTAGTTTTGACTTTCTAAACTTATCTCATTTAATCATACTTCTTGAATAATAATATCTTCTCATGCTAACCTCTCCGATTACTTCTAATACCTTTACTACCTCTTCTACTATTGGTTTTGAATTGACAATTACATCTCTGTGCTAATGTGTAATATTGCAACATGAACTGATGTACTTACTTACGAAGTTCTAAGTTGCAACTGACTGACTGACCGACTGATTGATGTACTGTGTAATTTTGTTTACAAAAAAAGACCATTTGATCAACAACAACAACACCCTTTTTTCTTATGATTTAACCTTCATGAATTGGACATTTTGATGAAATGACAATCATTTCATGTGTGTGTGTTTGTGTGTGTGTGTGTGTGAAAGTACGTGTCAATAATTTTACAAGTTTTTCTGCGTACAACAAGATGAAACGAATGCAACTTGTTATTGTTCTTAATTTTTTTTACAAAAAAAAACAAACTAAAATCAATTTTCAACATGTGAGATTCAAGATTTTATTTTCTAATTATTTTTATTGTCATTTGATTATTGATTCCATGATATGCCTGAAAATAAAATGCGCGAACGCCTAACCATTGGACCACTCACTGTACCGGCATCTAACGGTGTTAAAGGTCTAACTCTGTGATTGATTTAGGGAGTTTGCGTGACCTCACGAATTTGTCTTTGGTAATTAATGCCTACACATACCAGACAAGCTTGTATTCCATTGGTCACGTCTTGTCAACCTATAACTCTGAGAATTTCCTCACGAAGCTAGTCACTAGTGCGAGCACTGTTACGATATTTTCAGCCAGAGTTTTGGAGGTTTTTTGTGTTTTTACAACACATTTGAAATCATCAATCAATCATTGTTAGACCGCCATTAGAAACCTGGAAGCACTAGATGGCCGTTTCGTTCTGGTATGGGCGTTCGCACACAATCCCAAAGGTCCCGGGTTCGAATCCTGCGTGGTGCAGGAGTCGTGGATGCGCACTGCTGATGAGTCCCATACCAGGACGAAACGGCTGTCTTTCAGTGCTTCCAGGTTTCTAATGGTGATCTGCCAATGATTGATTGATGATTTCAAATGTGTAAAAACACAAAATACTTCCAAATCTCTGCCTGAAAATATCTTTTTTTTGTCCAAATTCATATGGTCGATCTCTACTCTACCCAATAGTGTTTGGATCTTGAGCACACGATTACTTTACCTTTAAACCACCGAGTTAACATCCAACACTGTTCATGTCTAATTTTAATCTCATCTAATATTTTCGATTGATAACTGACTTCACTGGACAGAGTTGAACTACACTAGTCACAGTTTCTCACTAGAACTCGGAAACACTAGTAGTAAGCAGCACATTGATGAGTTGTATACTGTAGGACAAATCAGTCGTGCAGTGCATCCGGGCTTCGAATAGTTATCTGACAATGATCGATTTCATAATGTGTAATTATCATGTTCATGACTTAATGAGCATATCAAGGCGATCAGTAATGGATGCATATATGCCGTAAAAAGATTGATCAATTTCGGACGTAAACATTAAATGAGAAAACTCCGATGATTCCTACAAATATATTGCACAGTCGAGTGGCTGTATGAACTCAGTGTCTAAGTAAAATAGTCAGCTACAATGTAGAACTTCGTACGTATATGTACATCAGTTCGAGTTGCCATACAACATGTTAGCACATAGAGATTGAATTGTCATCTAACTGAATAATAAGATAACTTTTGTAACGAGCGACACAGGTTTTGAGTTCTGGAGTGAAAAATAATTTTTGGGATGCAAGCACATCCAGACAAAGATAATTCCCATATTGAACGAAACGTTTATCCTAGATTTCACTGCTCTGAATATAAAATTATATTTTGAAAATTGCAGTGAAATAAGAGATTACGATAAATTTGTGAGTAATTACGAAATGAGTTGAACTATAAGAGGTTTGTGCAAATTGTTGAGGAACTGACCTTAGATAACCATGATAAAGTAGGAAGTACCGGGAATCCGCAGCGTTTTTTTATAACCTCACCAAGCGCAAAACTTGAAATCTTCAAGTCTCTCGACGAGCACATCGTGTTACTGGTGGTGTTTGGTTCTCTGAGCTGGATGTTTCGGTTGTGGAGCTTTCATTGTTCTTCGTCTGAACAAAATCATCAGCACAAACTTGAGGTAGAAGAGAATTATTCGAATTTTTCCACGTTTTACCTGTAGCTTATTCTGCAAACGTCGATCTTGATTGGTTGTTGTTGACCTTAAACCTGTCGTTGTTTACACCTCTGTTTTAATTGTATCCCCCTTTTGATCTGTTTTTTGATCCTATGTCACCTATGATTTTTCTGAGTAGTTGATAAATCGGGTCAATGTCGATGTGTTTGTTGACTGCTGGTTGACTTGTGAGTGCCAAGCTTCTAGAAATTCTGTAGTGTTCTTTGTACTCCCTCTATCCAGTATTTCCACATTGTTCCAATCGATTGTATGTCCATAGTTGTCCACAACAACTGATATAAGAGAAGAAATATGATGGCGTTTGAGTGCTAACTGATGTTCACATAGACAAAGATTAAGAGAATTTCTTTCTCTTTTCAAATTCACCTCACTCAATTATACTTCTGGAATAACATCTTCGAATCCCAATCTCTCCGATTACTTCTAATACCTATACTACCTCTACTACTATTATGGGATTTGAATTGACAATTATATCTTTGTGCCAATGTGGTATGGCAACATGAACTACTGTACTTATGTGCAAAGTTCTACGTTGCTGTTAATAATGATGATAAGAGTATGTCCACTTTGTACTATGAAGTGTTCTTCTGAGTTGGAGAAGTTTATTTTGTGTATGTTGTTCCAAAGAACAACATCCAGTTCAGAGCGCACAACTCCACCGCAATCTATTCACCTGAGCTACATATTTTCTCTAACATCTTGTAAACAATGTGTGATTTCATTCAACATCTTGATATAGATATTATTGCGTTTGTGTACACATTTATATATTCCTGAATAGGACAAAATTCATGTTTTGTATTCCACCGGTAGCCTAAAATCCATATATTCCATAGTGATTTCTAAAGGTTGTAGAAGTTTATCGGCTATTGATATTCACTCGTGTACGGTAAGATCATGTTAGGCTACTAGATAATTGGTAATGGTATCAGTCAGTCAATTGCAACGTAGAACTTCGTACGTATGTACATAAGTTCATGTTGCTATACCACATTAGCACAGAGACGAGAGTGTCAAATCAAATCCCATAGTGATAAAGTTAGTAGAGGTATCAATGGTAACGAAGAAGACTAGGGTTTGAAGATATTATTATTCAAGAAGTATAATTCAGTGAGGTAAGGTTAGAAAGACAAAGGTAGAGGTGTTGACGAATCCAGAAGATTAGGATTTGAGAGAGCTCAACGAATGGATGCAGTTGCGCCTTTGTAAACGATTCTGAGCCATATCGTTCAAAGTCTCTAACTATTGGTGACTTTCGTCTCGCGGACCCCAACCAGGTAGTCTACATTGACCAACAGGACTCAGTCCACTTGTCAGTGACTTTATGGATTTCTGCCATGTTTTCGTTTGGCCGCCCCTAGATTTCTTCCAATCTACTCCTACACCACAAAACATAGCTCGTCGAGGCAATTGGTGGTTAGCCATACGTAACACATGTGCTGACCACCCCAACTGATGAAGTTTCAATACTTCATCTATTGATTTGCCATCCTTACCTAGTACTCGTTTCCTAACGATAGCATTGCTTACTCGGTTGTCTCACGATATACGAGCAATGCTTCTTAAACATCTATGATCGAATACTAGTAACCTACGAACATCATCTACTCTTACTGGCGATGTTTCACATCCATATAGGAGAACGGAGCGAACTGCTGCGTAGTACACCCTTCCTTTAGTTAGCGAACGTATATCACGCCTACGCCATTAGTAGTGACGCAGGTTAGCAAAAGCCAATCGAGCTTTTGCTATGGTAATGGTATGAATTGTAGTAACACGTGATTTGTTGACACATTTTTTTTCTACTATGCTCTACATTGCTGTTTATAACTACATTCTCTCCTCTCTCTCTCTCTGCTTCCTTCTTTTGTATTTGTCAACAGTTATTTTGTGGTTCATGTTCAGCTTATAAAGCACCATTGGAATCATCCGGTGGAAAATATGAACGAGTTTGTGTTGTGGATTATTATATAATTAATAAAAATTTTAAACCACCAAAACCTGAAATTATGGAAGCAATATTACGTCGTGTAGATAAAGTAAGTTTCGTTTGTATTCATGCCTATTTTGCTATTAAACTCTTTTTTTGTGCAGCTTAAATTTACCAATGAGTATTCTGTAACCGGACTCTGTTCCGAGTTCTAGTTTCTATTTGTTTTTTTTTTCCCCAAGTGCTATTTATTAGTCATTCTTCTTATAATGTCTCTGCCTTCAATTTCCAATGTAATGTATTCCGTAGTGCTGTTCATTGGATGAGTAAACTGTGCTGCAGTTCTCACTGTCTTAATTACTGTACGGATGCGAAATGTGACCGTTAAGAGTAGAGGAGTTTTGTAGGTTACTAGTCTCTGAAGCATTGCTCGTATATCGTGGGACACACGAGTGAGCAACGCTGTTATTAGGAAACGGGTGCTAGGTAAGAATGGCAGATCATTAGATGAAGTAATGAAACTTCATCAGTTGAATTGGTTAGGACATGTGTTACGAATGCTTAACCACCGACTGCCTCGTCGAGCTATGTTTAGTGATGTAGGTTTTGCTTGGAAGAAATCTAAGGGTGGCCAAACCAAAACATGGCCGAAATCCATGAAGTCATTGACAATTAGACTGAGTCATGTCGGTAGTTGTCAACTACCTGGTTGGAGTCCTTGAGATGATAATAATCAATGGTTAGAGACCTTGAATGACATGGCTCAAAATTGTTGGCAATGCCGCTGGTGCATTTATTCTTTGTGTTCTTTCAAATCCAAATCCTAATCTGGATTCTTCAACACCTCTAGTTTTGTCTTTCTAAACTTTTCTCACTGAATCATACTTCTTGAATAATATCTTCTCATCCTAACCTCTCCGATTAATTCTAACAACTTTACTACTACCTCTACTACTACTGTAGTGAACGAGAACACAGGTGGGGCAACCGAATTGTGTTTAACGAAAATTACAGAGTTACTCAGTAAAATCGGAAAACCATATCGTAAATCGTTCATTTGCAAAAGATCAGTTCATCCTATGGAACTGGACTGTTTCTGTTGCTAAACATCAATCCATTGTCACTATTCATGCGTTTGATACAAATTCCATTGTGTTCTAACTCTTCGTTTCTTGATCTTCCCCCCATATTATGCTACCAGACTTTACGTTGACACTCACGTTATATACTACTTATAAGGAGTTCGCACCACAGCACCACACTACTATTATGGGATTTGAATTGACAATTATATCTCTGTGTACTAATGTGTAGTATGGCAACATGAACTACTGATGTACTTACGTACGTACCCAAGTTCCGCGTTGCATCTGCCTGACTGATTGATCTTGTATAGACAATTGTTCACAAACACCTATATATCTTATTATAGATGATAATAACTTTTATGGTGATTATCCAACTTTCTATTTCATACAATAGAATTGTTTTAACATGCTGCTTCTGCTGTTATGTCTCAATAGATTATTGACCTCTTAAACCACACATTTTATTAGAATCAAATTAGAAAATATTAACTAATTCATATAATTATTTACAAATTGAACATTGAATTTTTGTTTAAATTAATCAAAATATAATAATAATATTATTAATAATATACCTGATATATTAAAATAATTTAATTATTTTATTTTATCTTAATAATTTGTTATTATTATTTTTTTTTAAAATTGTAATATGTTAACTAAGAAATTTCTGTAATAGTATACTATTTTCTATTTTAAGTAAATCAAGTCATTTCAGTAAATTACAATGTAGAACGTGTAAGTAAATCAAATCAATTTGCAGTCAGTCAGTTGCAACGTAGAACTTTGTACGTATGTACATAAGTTCAGGTTGCCATACCACATGAGCACAGAGACGTAAATGTCAAATCAAATCCCATAGTGATAAAGATAGTAGAGGTATTAATGGTAATGAAGAAGATTAGAGGGTTTGAAGATATTATTCAAGAAGTATAATTTAGTGAGATAAGTTTAGAAAGACAAAATTAGAGGTGTTGAAGAATCCAAAAGATTAGGATTTGAGAGAGCTCAACGAATGGATGCACTTGTGCCATTGCAAACGATTTTGCGCCATGTCATTCAAAGTTTCTAACCATTGGTGATTTTCGTCTCGCGCACCCCAACCAGCTAGCTCACATCTACCAACATCACTCAGTCCAACTTGTCAATGACTTCATGGATTTCTGCCATGTTTTGGTTTGGCCGCCCGTAGCTTTCTTCCAACCTACTCCCCTACACCACAAAATAAAGCTCGTCGAGGCAGTCGGTGGTTAGGCATACCATATAAGTACACAGAGATGAAACTTCCAGACTAAATCCTAAAATTATACAAGTTGTAGTAGTATTTTTGGCTTGAACAAAGATTATTGATTGAAAATACGGTTGTAACACACATCTTACCACAAGATATAATCTACAATAAGGTGAATTCACAGAAACGGGTAAACAAAGAGTGGCGGCAGCTAATAGACTGAATTTTTTAAAGAGTTCAATTGTTCAATCTTGGTACAAAAGAAAGGAAGCTTATTTACAGAATAGTCTTATACATATTAGGTTCGTCAATCGGTACGCTTGAAGCTATTACGAGTTCACCTTAGTCGATAAAACGCAAAACGAGACCATGAACTAGCGTCCAGATAGGCCACCTTCAATCCAAACAGTGAAACAGAAAGTATATTCTACAAACACACAGCAATCACACAATACAATCAAGCATACAACTCTCGTTTATTTATACAACATAGGAACGTCCTTGAGACAGTTAAGAAAATAGCATACTAAAATACACAGCAGCCAATCACAACCATGGATTTTCCTGGTGGAAATTGAAATCTCAAGGTCATTTGATCAACCCATGCTCGCAAACGTGAAATCCAAGATAAAGCATTAATCAAGCGAGATCTGGGGATCTAACATCCCCAACAATACATTATTGTGCAAGTTCAGTTTCCATTTGTCATCTTCCAGATATACATTTTAAACATCATACATAGTGATCAGCTACACTGCGCACTGTTACACTATCCGTTCTCCTAATTGAGATACTTCTTCTAAGTGCTTAGCTATGAACATGAATAGTCTTACACGTCCGTGTAATGATAATTCATAATAGTTAATGGTAGGTGGAGGATTAACAAACTGAGCATCAAAATGAACTGTCATTCGATTTTATTTGAACTGGTTATAATGCTTCTGGGTAAGAATGGCAGGTTGATAGATGAAGTATTGAAACTTCATCATTTGAGTTGGTTGATACATGTGTTATGAATGCCCAACTAACGACAGCCTCGATGAGTGATGTTTTGTAGTGTTGGAGTAGGTTTGGAGAAAGATAGGGGTGGCCAAATCAAAACATGGCACAAATCCATGAAGTCACTGACAAGAGGATTGAGTTATATTGGTAAGTGTAGACAACCTGGTTAGGGTCCGCGAGAAAGTAGTAACCGATGGTAAGAGACCTGAAATGACATGTCTCAAAATCGTTTGCAACGGTGCAGGTGACTCCATGGTTTGTCATCTCTCAGATTGTAATCTGAATTCCTCATGACCTTTATTTTCTGTTTTTAAATTTATTTCACTGAATTATACTTCTTGAATAATATCTTGGAACCCTAATCTTCACCATTACTGTTAATACTTTTACTATCGCTACCACTGTGCGATTTGAATTTACGATTCGATCCACGAACCGCGAGCATATCGACACCTCTCGCCGCATAACACCCAAACGTGAGAAATCCCTGGACCATGCCCATGCACCGTTAACCCATATGGTGACCGCAGGGCTACACTAGCGTGTTGATATCATGAGGTCAGTGACAACAAAAAACCGAATTCGCTACATACTGGTTATATTGGAATTATTTCACGGATTGTTGTGAAATAGTTCCCATTCCATAGCAAGACGCCCTAGCATTTGCGTGAGCTTAAATTAATCATTAGGTATAATTTTACAGTGCTCCATTCTAACTGAAATCTAAAGTCACCTCACTGACCAAGTATACTGGATGTTAGGAATCCAGAAAACACACTGCTGTGTACCTTCGATAACGTAAAGGTTCAGTAGAAAGGTAAAACAAGACTATTCAAGCCCTCCTAAAGTCGTCCGTTAATAAGTCGCCATTTGAGTTTTGGAATGATACAGCACCTCCGTATCTCCTAGCTTTATAGCCCATCAGTACATGAGCTCACTGAATTCACACCTACTATTTTACTAATCGGACATGAATTATACCTACATCGATCACTATTGTCTCGTGGACCCTAACCAGGTAGTCTACACTTATCAATATGACTTAATCCAGTTGTCAGTAACTTCATGAATTTGTGTCATGTTTTGATTCGGCCACCTCTAGGTTTCTTCCATCCTACTTCAACACTACAAAACATCGTTCGTCGAGTTAGTTAGTGATTGAGTGTACGTAACACATGTCGTAACCACCTTAGTTGATTAAAGACTCATCAATTCATTCATTGATTTATCATTCTTATTTTCACATTGTAATCATCAGTCAATTGTCGTTAGATCACCACACACACTGGACAACCGTTTCGTCCTTATATTAAACTCATCAGTAGCGCGTGCATCCTCTGACTCCTGCTACTCACTCGATTCAAATCCAGGACCTTCGATCTTGCGTGCGGTCGCCTAACCTCCACACCACTGGGTCAGCATTTGATGATTTCGCGCAACCTCACCCATTTTTATTCGGTAATTAAGTGCTTAATAGAAATTCTCAGAGTTCAGTAATGTTCATGCCTGTCGGGTGCGTGTGTAGGGCTTATGGAAAGAAACACTAATCTCCATAATTCTCCATCATTCAATCTAATTCAATAATCAATGTTTGTCAATGAAAGTCATGTTTGTAAACAATCAATTGGTTTATGTCACTACTGTATATATATATAAATATCTTATTGACATAAGGTTAAATGAGTCAGTTAAATCATTGATGACTTTTCATCTGATTCATATCATGTTGTTGTAGATTATGTGCGGTGTATTGATTGTATGAAATCGTGTATACAATGTGAATTTGTT